GGGCGTTTCTCGAAAAGAGTAGGGGTGTAAGCCCGGTGTCCTGGCCAAATTTCCCATTGGCCATTACCAATCATGGCCTCCTAATAATCCCCATCTTGAATAGACTCTGTTCTCCTCCTCTCTGATAGCTGATGTATGTTAAGCGTTCTTGAGCACTAAGGCTGCTGTCGCATCATCCAGGTGGATGCTGCACATCGGTGATGGTGGGGGGGAGTCCCCATTACCTGTAAAGCGCTTTGAGTGGAGTGCCCAGAAAAGCGTTATATACAGTAAGTGTAAGTAATGATTATTATTATTACTACATGTTTTGCTGATGGATTAACATTTGTACATTTGTAGTTGTTCACATTTACCTGGTTGTAAGATTCCTGAGAAAACCACTAATTTATATTTGCACCAAAACATGCTCTCTTCCATGTGGGCACCTCAAATATTGAAGCTATGATCATTTGGCATCATCTCCATCGGGTTTCTCATATCGTCTGCAAGCTATATTCCAGGTTTCCGAAGGTGGTTCTGTTCCCACAATTCAGAAAAGGTTATCACACTAGAAGAGAACTGAAGAAGAATTTTAAAAGATATGGTAAAAGCAAACACAAATAAAGGCCCTTGACTGAACCAAAAAGAGAAGGGATTTTTTGGAAAGAGTAAAGAAATTTGTGGCCTGAAGGTTTCAGATAGAAAGCAAGAGTGTCAAAGAAGATGAAAGTGGCTGGACTATCAAGCACACAACAAAATACCTCCCAAGATAACATCTGCTTAGTTTGCCAGAGATCTTGTGCATTCTGTATTGCTCATAATAGTAACTTTTAGATTTATGGAAGGTAATCATCCTTTACTGCAAGGAATAGGCAATTAATGTATAAAGTCAATTAACCTACAGATACACCCAAATACCATTCAGTGCAAATTAGTTCTCTAAAGCTGAGCTTCAGCTTGTGCTTATATGGTCTGATTGGGTCTTAAACTGAAGTTAATATTCTCCATGGGATGCTCTGCTGCTTCAAATTATATTTCTTTGTTTTTACAGTGTACCACATTCAAACAGAATGTATTCTGATAAAGTGCATAAATTAATTGCATAAATTAACCGATAACTTAAAAGAAGCATTCCATTCTGCACTGTCTGCTTCCATGTCCCACATATATATCAACTGTAAGTGAGGATTAGCAAATTTGTATATCCTTTGTCATGATCTTTTCAATACTTTCTGCAAAAGCTTTCAGATATCAGCTACATACATTTACTGGAAGCATTCAAATCATTCATATGGTTTCTGTCCAGGAAGCAAGACAGTCCCTTTTTTCCCCAAGTACTTAATTATCCATGACCTGTTTCTTTCCCTTTGCATTTTAAGAACTCATTTGGACTGTTTACTTAGGGAGCCTGATCAAGGTTTATCAATAACAATGTAATTATTTTTTTTTCATTTCAATGTACTACCTACTGAATATAGATTTCTGTCAACCTCTGTGCTCTTTACTCTGTGTACTTAATGAACCCAAATTATTTACTCTAATGATTCTCATTAAACTTTTGTAAAATCAAATCCACATTTAAAAAAAATAAAATAATAATAATAATAATAATAATAATTTTTTACACTTACATAGTGCTTTTCTGGACATTCCACTCAAAGCACTTTACAGGTAATGGGGACTCCCCTCCACCACCACCAATGTGCAGCATCCACCTGGATGATGCAACGGCAGCCATAGTGCGCCAGAACGCTCACAACACATCAGCTATCAGTGGGGAGGAGAGGAGAGTAATGTAGCCAATTCATAGATGGGGATTATTAGGGGAGCA